CATCCTCCTCCTCCTCCTTCTCCTCCTCCTCCTCGTCCTCCTCCTTTTCCTCCCTCCTCTCACCCCCTCCGCCTCCGTCTCCTCCTCCCTCTCCTCATCCTCCCTCCTCCCTGCCCCTCCGCCTCGTTCTCGTTATCCTTCCCCTCGCGTTCCAAACGTTTTTCCTGAGCGGTTGCAGAAAGCGCTCCTTCTCACCTCAAGACCCACCCGGGTGTGCGGGAAATCTGGCCCCTCGAGCGCCAGCCTAAACCTTGAGCGCAAGCCTAAACTCCCTCATTATCCTCCTCCTCCTCCTCCTCCTCCTCCTCCTCCTCGTCCTCCTCCTCCTCCTCCTCCTCCCCTCCTCCTCCTCCTTCCTCCTCCTCCTCCTCCCCCCCCCTCCTTCTCCTCCTCCTCCTCCTCCTCCTCCTCCTCCTCCTCGTCCTCCTCCTCTCCTTCCCTCCTCCTCCTCCTCCTCCTCCTTCCTCCTCCTCCTCCTCCTCCTCCCCCCCGCCTTCCCCTCCTCCTCCTCCTCCTCCTCCTCCTCCTCCTCCTCCCTCCTCCTCCTCCTCCTCCTCCCCCTCCTCCCGTCGTCCTCCTCCTTCCTCCTCCTCCTCCTCCTCTCCTCCTCCTCCTCCCTCCTCCTCCTCCTCCTCCTCCTCCTCCTCCTCCTCCCCCTCCTCCTCCTCCTCCTCCTCCTCCTCCTCCTCCTCCTCCTCCTCCTCCCCTCTCCTCCCTCCTCCTCTCCTCCTCCTCCTCCTCCCTCCTCCTCCTCCTCGTCCTTCTCCTCCTCCTCCCCCTCCTCCTCCTCCTCCCCCTCCTCCTCCTCCGCCTCCTCGGAAATCCAGCCCTTGGGCCCTTGGGCTTTCCCCGGACGCGTCGCTGCCAGAACCGCGCGGCGGGCTCGGCCCTCGCGGCGACGGGGCCGCCCCCAGAGGCACACAGAACAAAACCAGCACGCGTGACGGCCAGCCCGCGGCCGCTGGGCCTCTCAGGAGCCCACGAAAGCGGCGACAGTTGCGCAGATCGCAGCCCGACGGCACGAGAGAAGAGGAGAGGGGAACACAGGAAACAGGAGAAGAGGAGGGGAGGAGGGGGGTGGAGAAGAAGGAGGCTGGGGCGACCACACTGGTCTATTCAAAACGAGTACCCAACCATAGGAGGGTTGTGAACAAAACCAGCACGCGTGACGGTCAGCCCGCGGCCTCGGGCCAGCCGTGGAGGCGACGCTGGGTCCCATCCGCGACGAGGCCGCGCGGATCTCGGCGGCGCTGCTGGACGAGCGGAAGGCGAGGAAGCTGCAGGAGCCTCGTCCGCCCTGGCCCCCGCGCCAGGGCTCATTTTGCCTCCTCCGATTCGATTCGGCTTCGGATTCCGATCTGGATTCCGATTTCTCAATGGAGGCCTGTTAGCCTGCCGATTTTCGCCGATCCGACTTCTCCCGACTCGGTGGCCGATTTCCGCCGATCCGATGACTTTCGATCGCCACGCCGACTTCTCGATCCGATGCTGGGCTTCCTCGCCGCGCCTTCCAGGGCCTCCGCCGCGCCGCGAGAAAAAGCACGCCGGAAGCTGTCTTCGCCGTTGCTGTCCTCGGGGGCGGGGGCCCGGCGGGACCGCTCTGAGCGCCAGCGGCGCTGCAGCGCAGGGCTGCGGAGCGCGTCGCTTTGCTCCGCCCGTGCTGGTCGCGAGCGGGCGACGAGTGGCCCCGACATCTGACGGGCCTGTTTTCCACCACCACCACCAGAAGTTGGAGGAGGAGGAGGAGGAGGAGGAGGAGGAGGAGGATGAGGAGGGAGAGGAGGAGGAGGAGGAGGAGGAGGAGGAGGAGGAGGAGGCGGAGGAGGAGGAGGAGGAGGAGGAGGAGGAGGAGGAAGGGGTGGATGAGGAGGAGGAGGAGGAGGAGGAGGAGGAGGAAGGGGTGGAGGAGGAGGAGGAGGACCGAGGACCTCATCCCCATCCAACTTATGGTGGTTGTGGTGGAAAACAGGCCCATCAGCATCCCCGCGCCGTGAAGGAGTCACGCCAGACGAACGGTTCGCAATTTTCGGTTCCGCGCCCCTCGCTGGTCCCCCTCACAGAGCCGACGCTCCCAAACATTGCAGCGGCGGATTTGTTTTGCCGTTTGCAGGGGCCGCGGGACCGTCAACAAAACGATTCAGGATGAACAGCCGGCCCTGGGGAAGCGGTCCAGATTTCCAGGGTACACGCGTCGATAAAATTAGCGCGGCGAGATGTCGGGCCCACGCATGGAAAAATTCGAGCGGCGAGATGTCGACAATCAGAAAACGACTCAGGATGAGGAGCTGGTCCTTGGGGGAATGGAGACGGGATGGATGGAAAGGGAGAGGGGCCGAAGGAGTCTGAAAGGAGGGGGCAGGAGAATGTGAGCGAGGAAGGAAAGCGGGGGTGAGTGAGGAACGCGAGGGGGTGGGAGAGGTGAGGGGTGGGGAATGCATAGGGAGTGCGTGGAGGGAGGAAGGAGGCGGGACAGGTGTGGAAGGAGGGAGGGAAAAGCGTGGGAGGCAAGCTAGGTGCGCTCGCGTCATATCTGACATCCTACTCCTCTTTTCCATATCTTCCCATTGCTGTGAGTTTTCTCTATCCGCGGACGCGTGTCATAGCGGATCTGCAGTTCCCAACAACGAAAGCACGGTGTTATGCGCAATCGGAACAGGGGAGCTGCGTACATGGGAGCGGGAGGAGGAGAAGTTGGAGGAGGTGGCGGATGAGCAGGAGGATGAGCATAACGAAAGGAGGATGAGGAAGGAGCAGGACGAGGATGCTCAGCAGCAGCGGCAACTGGAGCAAAAGTACATGGAGGAGCAGAAGGACTAGGGGAAGGCGAAGGAGGGGACAGGAAGGGGGCGACAACCATGAGGAAGGAGTCTCCAGAAAAGGGACCCGCGTTGGGGCGAGAGAGCCATTCGGAACGACGGAAGCAAAGCGCCGATCCGAACATGAGGCCCACGCTGCAGCGGGAGCAGCATTATGAAACACCGAAAACGAACGGATTGCAACAACCATGAGGCAAATCATTGTTTCAAATTCTGTGCGTGAGGATATCAGTACGCTGAGATTGCTGGACATCTTCTGGACAAAGCCAGGGGAGGAAGGAGATAATGTGTAATTGTGGAGGGAGGAAGGAGGAGGGGGAGGCCGACCGCATGCACAGTGGGCCTCCACAGGTGTGTGATGCCATTCTGCACCCCATCATGGGTCTTTGCGAGTCTCTGGGTCACCGGAGGCCCTGAAATTCTCCGGTGGCCTTGAAGATCAGGTAGATAAATAGATAGATCGCTCCAGAGCGTTCCAGAACGCATTCAGAGCGAGCCACAGCGCTGTGAACTTGCCTCGGTGCCCAGCGTATTCTCTAGACCCACCAGCTCTCAGAGGTTCCTTTTTCTCATTTGTTAGGTCTTCGGTCATGGACTTTGTTGAACGTAATTGTCAGCTTTTGCGCCGACGACCGTCAGAAGATTACCGAATACCGCAAGAAGGCCGCCGAAGACCGCCTGGGGCCATCGGGTGACAAGGTGTCCATGGTCGACAACGTAGCATCCAAATTCATCGTCACCCTGCCTTCGTCTTACCAGAGTGGGGCCAAATCGGGGCCAGCCAGGAGCTGGTCCACTATACTATTTTATGTCTGTCCGCCACTTTGTGAAACATGGCGGCCCAAACACAGTTTGTATACAGGTTACTATATATACCTATACGACCACCCTTCGGGTGATAAGGAGGTTCGGGGGGGGAGGAACCAACGTCTCACTCGATCGGTCTCACTATCGATCTCACTATCGATCTCAGTATCGGTCTCGCTCGATCGATCTCCCTCGATCGATCTCACAATCGATCTCACTCGATCTATCTCACAATTGATCTGACTATCGATCTCGCAATCGATCTCACAATCGATATCACATTCGGTCTCACTATCGATCTCACTATCGATATCACCACCGCTATCACAATCAACGTCATCATCATCATCAACAACAACATCAACATCAACATCATCAGCATCACCAACATCATCATAATCGGGACACCGTCCTCATCATCAACACCAACATCATCATCATCATCATCACGGTCATCAACATCATCGGGACACCGCCACCATCATCATCATCATCACCATCATCACAATCATCATCATCAACATCATCATCAGCAGCATCGGGACACAGTCATCGTCATCATCATCATCAGCAGCATCATCATCGGGACACCATCATCATCATCATCTCATCCTCATCATCAACATCATCATCATCAGCATCATCAACATCATCATCAGCATCATCATCATCGTCATCATCGGGTTACCATCACCATCATTACCAACATCATCATCATCACCACCATCGGGGCGCCATCATCATCAACATCATTATCATCATCATAATAATCATCATCATCGGGACGCCATCATCATCATCAACCTCATCATCATCAACATCATCATCATCGGGACACAATCATCATCATCATCAACATCAACATCATCATATGCATCTTCATCGGGACACCATCATCGTCATCATCATCATCATGAGCATCATCATCCTTATCATCGGGACACCATCAGCATCATCATCATCATCGTCATCATCATCGACATCATCATCATCATCATCACCATCATCATCATCATGATCATCATCATCATCATCGGGACACCATCATCATCATATCATCATCATCATCATCATCATCATCATCATCATCATCATCATCATCATCATCATTATCGTCCTCATCATCATCAGCATCACCATCATCATCATCATCATCATCGTCATCAACATCATCATCAGCAGCATCATCATCATCATTATCAGCAGCATTACCATCATCATCATCATCTCATCTCATCTCATCTCATCTCATCTCATCTCATCTCATCTCATCTCATCTCATCTCATCTCATCTCATCATCACCATCATCATTATCGTAATCATCATCATCATCATCATCATCATCATCATCATCATCATCATCGTCATCGCGGGACACCGCGGGACACCGGCGGGACACGGCGGGACACCGCGGGACACCAGCGGGACACTGGCGGGACACCGCGCGCCACCGGCCGCCCGGAAGAGACACATTTGGTCCGGCCGCGCCTCAGCCACAGGGACACCGACGGGACACCGGCAGGACACCGGCGGGACACCGCGCGCCACCGGCCGCCCGGTGGAGAATCATTTGGTCCGGCCGCGCCTCAGCCACAGGAGATTTTCCTCTCGCCCGCCCACGCAGCTTCGCCTCGCCCGCACGGCACGCACGAACACGAAACCGAAATCGATTTCCCGGTAGGGGGGCTCTCCGTTCCACTTCGATCTCACCCCCTCACCTCCGATATATAATATATTATATATATATATATATATAGATATATATATATATATATATATATATATATATATATATACCGCGGATTTCGGAAGCCCTGAACCCAAAAACGTTTTCATTTCTTGGGGGCGCATATATCACTTCCGCCACCTTTCGCCGCCCTTCCGCCAGCGGAGGCGGGCTCGTTTTACTTCCGCCGACCTTCCGCCGCCTTCCGCCGCGGAAAAGATGACAACTCCTTCTATCCTCGAAGGCAGGGCCCGTTTTGGAACGCCCCATATCTAACTACCTATACGACCACCCTTCGGGTGATAAGGAGGTTCGGGGGGGGGAGGAATGAACGTCTCACTCGATCGGTCTCACTATCGATCTCACTATCGATCTCAGTATCGGTCTCGCTCGATCGATCTCCCTCGATCGATCTCGCAATCGATCTCACTCGATCTATCTCACAATTGATCTGACTATCGATCTCACAATCGATCTCACAATCGATATCACATTCGGTCTCACTATCAATCTCACTATCGATATCACAACCGCTATCACAATCAACGCCATCCTCATCATCAACAACATCAACATCAACATCATCAGCATCACCAACATCATAATCGGGACACCGTCCTCATCATCAACACCAACATCATCATCATCATCATCACGGTCATCAACATCATCGGGACACCACCATCATCATCATCACCATCATCACAATCATCATCAACATCATCATCATCATCAGCAGCATCGGGACACAGTCATCGTCATCATCATCATCATCAGCAGCAGTATCATCATCGGGGCACCATCATGATCACCATCGTTATCATCATCATCATCATCATCGGGTTACCATCATCATCTCATCCTCATCAATGACATCATCATCATCAGCATCATCAACATCACCATCAGCATCATCATCATCGTCATCATCGGGGCACCATCATCATCATTACCAACATCAGCATCAACAGCATCATCATCATCACCATCGGGACGCCATCATCATCAACATCATCATCACCATCAGAAAAATCATCATCATCGGGACGCCCTAATCATCATCAACCTCATCATCATCAACATCATCATCATCATCGGGACACAATCATAATCATCATCATCAACATCAACATCATCATACTCATCATCATCGGGACACCATCATCGTCATCATCATGATCATCAACATAATCATCATGATCATCATCATCCGCATCATCGGGACACCATCAGCATCATCATCATCATCGTCGTCATCATCATCATCGACATCATCATCATCATCGGACACCATCATCATCATATCATCATCATCATCATAATCATGATCATCGTCCTCATCATCATCACCATCAGCATCACCATCAGCATCACCATCATCATCATCGTCATCATCATCAGCAGCATCATCATCAGCATCACCATCATCATCATCATCAGCATCATCATCATCATCATCTCATCATCATCATCATCATCATCATCATCATCATCATCATCATCATCATCATCATCGCGGGACACCGCGGGACACCGGCGGGACACCGCGGGGCACCGCGGGACACCGCGGGACACCGCGGGACACCGGCGGGACACCGGCGGGCCACCGCGGGACACCGGCCGCCCGGAAGGGAGACATTTGGTCCGGCCGCGCCTCAGCCACACGGGACACCAGCGGGACACCGGCGGGACACCGCGCGCCACCGGCCGCCCGGTGGAGGATCATTTGGTCCGGCCGCGCCTCAGCCACAGATAGGAGACTTTCTCTCGCCCGCCCACGCAGCTTCGCCTCGCCCGCACGGCACGCACGAACACGAAATCGAAATCGATTTCCCGGTAGGGGGGCTCTCCGTTCCACTTCGATCTCACCCCCTCACCTCCGATATACACACATATATGTTTCAATACCTGTCGCCCCGAGAGCTGGCTGGACACTTCTACACCGTGCGTTGTCATGTGGCATTTCTGCGAAACCTCATGGGACACGGCCCAGATACCTTAGTGCCTATGTATGTATGTATGTATGTATGTATGTAAGTAGGTAAGTAGGTAGGTATGTAGGTATGTAGGTATATAGGTATGCAGGTATGTAGGTATGTAGGTATGCAGGTATGTAGGTATGCAGGTATTCTGGTATGTAGGTATGTATGTATGTAGGTATGTAGGTATGCATGTATGTATGTATGATTGTATGTATGCATGTATTGTATTGTAATGTAATGTAATGTGATGTAATGCAATGTAATGTAATGTAATGTAGTGTAGTGTAATATAATGTAATGTAATGTAATGTAATGTAATGTAATGTAATGTACTGTAATGTAATGTAATGTGATGTAATGTATCGTAATGTAATGTACTGTAGTGTAGTGTAATGTAATGTAATGCAATGTAATGTACTGTAATGTAATGTAATGTAATGTAATGTAATGTATGTATGGTTGTATGTATGTATGTATGCATTTATGTATGTATGCATTTATGTATGCATACATGTATGTATGTATGTATGTATGTATGTATGTATGTGTATGTATGTATGTATGTATGTATGTATGTATGTATGTATGTATGTATGTATGTATGTATACGCGCGGTTCCCACCAAAGACGACCAGCAACTTCGGCCCTCGAGCCTCGAACCCTCGGTCCCCGCTGCTCGGCGCGGCCGGCCGCACCGCTGCGGCATACCGTTCGCACCCCCCTTGCAGGGCCCCGTTTGGCTCGGTCGATCCGATTCGTGTTCGAGTTCACCAGGCTCGATCCGATTCGATTCCGATGTCCCGGCGATCCGGTACGGCTGGATGCTGGCAGATCGTCAGTGCCGCAGGCACGTCAAGTAAGATGCCAACCTGGTAGGAGTTGCCCCTCAGAGGTATCTTTTTTCCCAGAGGCGCCGGGGACCGACAGAAGACATG